TTTGCAATCGGTTATTATTCATCGCTTGAATCCGCAATTCTGTGTTTTCAAAACCGTTTGTAACGCAGCTGTTGTTGCTGTTGTGGTGATGATGTCACACTTTATGTCACTTTATTGCAGTGTGACGACTTTCCGCTCCCTCTTCTCTACCCAAATTATACAAAGTGCTTGTCCATTACCATGTATATTTTTATGCTAATGAAACGTATAGTGTTAGATGAATATTGTATCCATTTTTTCTTTTTGTTGAAACCGTAGACGTAATGGTCTAAATAATTTCTTCATCTTTTGAGTTTTTTTGTTGCTTTTCAAAGCGGAAGTTAGGCATTCAGCTATTCACAGTTCTCAGCTCATGTAGGAAATGCTAATTCCGGCCCAGAAGAGTTTTCCGATTCCTCGGGTCGCAACTACACAGTCTCGTATGACCCATCGGCATAGGTATGTTGTCATCTTTTGTTCGCTACGTCATCAAATGTGACCATTGCATCACTGCCTCCATTGTGCTAGTATTATTTTCTAAGTGGCTCCTATCTGAGTTGAAAAGAAACGTCGTCTTTCCGGTTATTGAATTGTGATTACTCCTCCTCATTAGCAGCGTCCCCGTCATCCTCATCCTCATATCCCTCCTCCTCCTCCTGATCCTTATTCTTATCCTCTTCGTCAACATCATCATCCGAATCGCTTATGGTATAAACCACATTGCACGAAGACATAATGAACCATGAGACTAGGGACCAAAGAGAGAAGGGCAAGGAGAAGTTATACGGAGGCGTTCTTAGTTGAGATATAAACAAACAGTGAAAAAGTGATGATCAAGGGCGATAGTCAGAAATAAATAATTTATTATGATTGAGGGGAGCCTACGTTCCATGGAGGAGCTGAGAGAGAGAGGATGGCACCGAAATGCTTAGAATTCGAAGTGGCCTTGAATTCCACGGCACTGTAGCAAACCGGAGTATGGTCATGATTTTCGGTAAACTTTGGTATCACACACAGTCGGAAGATTTCGAGAAATTTTGTGTCCAAGTATGATTCTTCCTGACTCTGTTGAGTGAAGCCGACGACTAATGATGGCTTGCTATAATGAGCTCGCTGGTGGAATGAATCGATGGCAGACTACATGGAGAACGCTGTCCACCTGTCATGATTTCCATAACTTTCAAAAGTACTAGTAGGTTAAACGTGAACAATCGTTGTGTAATATCGGTACCACACTGTACGAATGCGATCAAAGAACTTGCACGTTATCTTTGACGTTTAATAAAATCCACAAAAGCTTATGTTATTGAATAGCAGTTTATATATGACGTATATGTAGTATATGGTTTAAAAACAATACGGATAAAGTATTACTGTCCTCATAACTTTCTACATTTGTTCCCGGTAAGCGATGCATGCAGTTACGTTGTGTGAAAGTTTGTTAGATGTGTGTATTGTTGTATTTCAAAGCTAAAGCCAATTGGGTATGAAACCGTCACTGTGTTGCAAGAATCACGCGTCGAGAATGAGAGACGAATATGAACGGTGTATGAAAAAGTGTTTAGAGCATATGATCGCAGTTACTACCGTAATTGGGAACATGCGTTGGCGTGTGCCAACCAGTTGAGTTTGTCATTCACAAGGCATTTCGTCGCTTTGCTCTCTCGGATTCAAATAAATACGACGAGGTGAAGTTCCAACTGCATCGGTTAAAAATATCGATATGGGATGGTAAGGTTAGGGAATGTGAGCTGTGGCTACTGATTGACCGAAAACAGCTTTGCACCGAAAGAACATATGCAGAGGTTAATCGATTAACCGAAAGTGAATGTTTTATAAGGATTAGAAACAGTTGAGCACCTAATAGTTACGCTTCCCGGTGCGTTTTAACGTTGCTGCTTTTCGTCTGACTTTTTTCTCTCAGATGGCTTATCAAAAAACTACAATCCAACAGACTGCACTAAACATGTAATTTCGTTATCGTTGAGAATGAAATAATCAGGAGTCAAACCTCAGTCCTCTCATGATTTACCCCTCTCTCTCCGCTCCATTTCAGCGTGACAGAAAGCATCCACTAGTTTCCCCAGTACCAGGAGCGGTTCAATACGCTCCCGAGGAGTTTCGACGCCCAATATCCGTTCCTCGAACTCGGGGCCATGTCAGATCACCGCGAACAGCCTCGCGCGATCCTACAAAGTGGATCCATTACACCTTAGCAGATGTGGACGAGGACGGATTTGGAACCCACGATCTATCCGTCCCTAATAGAGATCCAAATTGCAATATTGCTTTATCTTTTCTGAGTGAGTTGCGTGAGCGACGAGAAGCTGAATCATGCGAAACGAACCACGAGGAAGAAGCGACTCCTGCCGGGTCGGAGGGTCATCATCGTATCCTGTTTCGATCTGTGCACGGTACAAAACGCGCACGTGTGCATGACACAAAAGCCGATCAGCCAAAAACCACTCATTTGACGATCGTCGTCAACAGTTTGGCTGAAAGCGAAGAAGACCAGATGATACGCACCGGTCGCGAAGATTGCACCTCGAACGGGACAGCAACTACCTCCTTATTCATTCTCAGACGGCAGAGAACTGGATTCCGTGGTCGACAGGTACCTTCGGCTGAAGGCGATTTTCATGGCGCAGGTGATGATAATCAACCTTCAGCCACCCCAGATGTAACCATGGACGATAATGAAGTAAATGAAATGGATGGTGGCGCTGACGGCGAGGAGGAGGAAGAGGAACTCGAAACCACAGAAAATGATTTCCTCGCCTGAGACTGATTTTGTGTGAATTCTGGAATTGTATCGTCTTGCTGTGGCCGTATTATGTACATATCGGGTAACTTGGCTATACTTCATGATTTCAGTTCACTCGAATACCGCTCAGGAATAATTGTTTTTATCTATAATCTTGTTTTGCTTTGAGTCTGAGGCAGTTATCTGTGTTTAAGCTAATCTGGAAAGGAAAATACATCACAAACTACTCGCCATTCAGGTCATTTGCTTGTTCCGTGCTGAGTATTACCTTACAAACCGTGATCTGCCTATTCTAAACTGAAGCACTCACTTGGGTGCAAACGAATATGATGTTTTTGTTAGCCGCATCGATGTGTCATTGTCTTCTCCCACACCGGACAACTTGCTGGTACGGTATAGGGTAAACATACATGATGCGTGTTCTGTTGATTTAGTCAAATTACTCGTTTGATGTTAAATTCTGCCATCGGATCGATATTGGAACGAATAGCCGAACACCCCAAGACTCTGTCAACTGGATCCATATACTGCTTACTGTGCCCTAGCAACGTGCCTCAAAATGCTGGATTAAATGCCTGGAAACTTCAGACGGAAAACTGCTAATGAATTCGCTCTATTGATTCCTTTATTCTTTTCTTTTGCATTTTCACTTCCCTTTATTTAACATACAAATATACAATTTTCCGAAAGGGGGAAGCTACTAATCAAGGGACTTTCATACAACACAACAAGGCAAGTCAGGCGGTGATGGTGGATTCAAACACGATCTCCGGACGGAATAAGTGGGTGACGTTACCACCAGGCCAACATCGCCCGATGCCATCTAAAAAAGTGGTATCTTATTGCTGATTTTTTTCCGTGTAAAACTAGTGTCACCGGATATTTGAGCAGAGGAGCCAAAACGATGTATGTAGTTCACTCATATTCTTATATTTCACACGTGTCGGAGTCTAGACTGTGTGCAATCTTTATGTCAAAAAAGATTCCATGATTTACTCAGTATGAGATAATGTCAAGTCCCCAGACAAAAGCAAGCGAATTTTATCGGAAAATTAATAAACGGAGTCTTCGAATAGCCAAAGCCTGATCCGCAAGACTATGGAGTAAAATACGAAAACCGCAATCCATAGGGGGAGGGGGAGGGAGGTGGTGTCCAGTTCATTGGATCATACGCCCTTTGGTCGGGGTCAAACGTCCAAGGTGCTCGTTTCAGCCGGGGACCATTGTCACAGCTACGAAGGTGTGGTTCGTACGGGTCTTCTTGGTTGCTTTGAAATTAGGTTGTTTTAACCAACTCTACTAGGCGAACTGCCAGCGGTTCATTGACCCGGTTATAGCCTCGGATGTAAACTTTTTGTCCTCTGACTTTGGTGTAAAGGTGCCTCCCAAAGCCTCAGTATGGTCGGGTGTGGGTGTCTCGGGTTGTGGCCGTTCACCCCTTGTTTGCACCTCGCGAAATGCTCCCATACAACCAAGCCTTCCATCGGCGGTGTTTTACCACAAAAGCTTGAGGACGAAACGCCAACAATCGGGGCTATAACCTGGTCAGTGAACCACTGGCAGTTCACTCAGAGCAGTTGACTAAAAACCCCGATTCCAAGCAACCAAGAAAAGGCGTAGGAACCACACCCATCCACACCTTTATAGTTTCGGCTTGACTGAGCACCTAGTTTTAAGTCATCGTTTAATCGATAGATGTACTCTCACGATCATTCATTAAATTGTTAAACCGATTCCGATCAGCGCGCTCTCTTATGTGTTCTGATTTCCTGTGTTGGTTTATGAACATACAGTGCATAGCGTCGCAGTTGGAATTCGGTGTTAACGATATTGGCGACGGGAATCCAACCCAATCATGCTGCATTTACCTTCACCATTGTAATGCTCACCCACGATAAAACCATCACTTTCCATATGGAATCGATGGAAAAAAGACATTCATAGACTACCTTGAATTGTTACCTGTGCTCCATCCACNAAACGGTGCTTACCAATTCACACAAAATAAAACTTCCGTCAATTCCTTGGTGATGAAGGTCAGCATCATTTTGACGCATTACATATTAGTGACATGTCGGATAAAGTATTCAATACATTCAATGAACTGAGGTTCTGGACTCAGTACCTACATTGCCAAATACTTTTTTTTTCTAAACTGCACCAAAACGTTGAGGAAAATGCCAACGATTTCATCGTAAGAATAGAACAAACACTGCCGGACTGTCGGTATGATGAAATACATAGCAGCAAGGAAGAAGTGGCGATTCAGTGAATAATAACTGGGATACGGAGCGATCAGGCTCGCGAGAAATTACCGTCAGAACAAGAATCTAAACTCACCTGGGAAAGGACATGTGACATCGTCCGACATCAAGAGAACATCAACCATCAATTAACTCAGTTTTCCGAAAATTCAGACCCAGACAACGTGCAAGCAGTGACGCGAAAAATCACGTCACCCACAAAGCGTTCAGTCAAGGAGTTCGTATGTTACCGCTGCGGAAGTAAACATGTATTAGCGGACGATTGTCGATACAAGCAAACAATTTGTCTCCACTGTGGGAAGATGGGGCATCTGGCGCGTGTTTGCAGAGCGGCATCACAGAGCTATTCAAACAGAAAGCCACGTGGAAAACCTGTTACTGTCGTACGCAATTATACGGGAAATGAATCCCAGTTTGACGTAATAAATACTACTCCACTTGGCCTAAGAATCTCATAGTGGCACCAATCCTCGGCGCAACCGAGCCGGTTTCCAAACTTCACCTTTCCAGTCAACCCCCGTGACACTTACCGGCCAGTGCGCCGCTCAAAGGGTAATCTATGTACTCTGAATAGTTTGCTACATCCGGAAGGCATATGAACTGGTCAACCAGTCACCGGCCCACAGAAAATCGTGGACGCCCTACTCCATCCCACTGCTTTGTGGGTGAGGTTCTTTAAACAAGGCTTCCGTGTAGTGTCCCTCAAAAAAACTCTACTTCCACCTGGGCAACCTATTGGTACCACACCCATAACCTAACCATGGACTTATGCATTCATCCATGTCGCAGACTCGCGCACTCATGCAAAACTCTCCTCAAAATCTGCACGCAACACTTTCACCTGTCCCACACATCACCCCCATCTTTTCCGCTGTATGCTCTATCTCGAATAGTTCCACCGACATAGTTTCATGTAGCTCGCCGCTATCCTCCTCGATATGTCTCATCAGTGCCATGCCACTCGGAGCTGGTCGTTCCATTCCTTTGACCTCACTCTGAGTTTGAACTGGTTTCGTTCAATGTATGAACTGTAATGCGTATAGGACAACAAGCGGGTTTGGCTCGTACGCTCGAAAGTCTAGAGATTGATGTGTTACCTCTCGGAAGCATATTCAGACTCCGAGCTCAGTGGTCCGATTAACTTCTCCTTCTAATCCAGAAGAAGCGTTTCAACTGAACGTTTCCTGGGACCCTGTCGCATTCGCGTCTGATCATGTAGGCGTTAGTATTACCCTAAGCGCCAGGGCAGAGGATGGTCTGTTGGACTGGATCCCGATAGACAACCGAGTATGTTCAGTGAGACTCCGAGGTTCAAGGGAAGTTATAAAGTAGAAACCAAATGGTGGTTTCTATATACGCTTCCTCAGACTGTATCCCGGATACAATCAAAGATGTTTTCTATCGCAGCCCACATGAGCTCTCAAAGCACCTAAAAGGGATATCGCGA